TAGAGACTAGAAGACAAACTGATGGATTCAAATAACAAATAACAAGACTGGAGGTTCCAACTAGATATCAGGAAGACCTTCCTGACAGTAAGAGCTATTCAGCAGTGTAAGAGACTATGGACGTTATCACACAGGGAGTTGCGGGGAGAAAGTTGAAATAAACCAGATGAGCGGAAGACTTTAATTTACGGGATTTGTCCCGTTCCGTCACGTCTGATAACTAAATTCAAATTTAAAAGGGGATTAATTCGAACAAAAACCTGATCTTTTCAAATCCTCAAAAATCCCGAAAATGAAAAGATCAGGTTTGCGTTCGAATTAACCCCCTTTTAAATTCAAATTTAGTTATCAGATGAGATGGAATGGAACAAATCCCATAAATTAAAGACTTCCGCTTGTGCCCGTTTATTTCCACTTTCTCCCCGCGATTCCCCATGTGATAACGTCCTATGTCAGAAGGTAGTAGAAAACTGTCCTTCATTAGAGTTTTAAAGCTGAGATTAGATGGTTGCCTTTCAAATGCTTCAGTTGTGAATTCTGGCATTGATGGTGGTTTGGACTGGATGATCCTTTGAGTTGCTCCCAACTCTATGATTCTGTGATCAGCAAGACAACCTTGGAGTGGAGTCTCCTTCTTTGAAGGTTTTTAAACAGAGTCTGGAAGGCCATCTGTCAAGATTGCTTTGATTCCTGCATGGTAGGGGATTGGACTGCATGGCTAGTGTGGTCTCTTCCACCTCTGTTTCTATGATTCTATAACTGGTGCAGTCCTGTCAGAAAGGCTGTACTTCAGACTGAGAATGAGAATTGTATACTTCAGTGTTCCCCTCACAGAGAAAAAATCCACCTCCATTCAACTAAAATGATAGCCTGTTAGGGAGAAAGACATTAACCAAAATTTGTCTCTGGCATCCTAACTTTCAGCATGCCATGAGCTTTCAAACTAAGGGTAACTCAAACATCAATTTATCACTTTGGTGCAATTGAGTAGTATAGCTTCGATGTTACTGCACTTCATAGTGTAGATAGATCTTGTAGCACCTTTGAGACTAACTGAAAGAAAGAAGTTGGCTGCATGAGCTTTCATAGACTTAAATCTACTTCCTCAGATGCATTTAGACTTAAAGCTTTTATAGATTTAAGTCTATGAAAGCTCATGCTGCCAACTTCTTCCTTTCAGCCACTCTCAAAAGTGTTACAAGATCTCGCTATATATTGACTGGGTAGACTAACATGGCTATATCTTTGAATTCCGTCCTTTATATTTTTATCCATGTTTGAATGGGCACAAAATGAAGTAAGGGTTCATTCAAATGGACTAAAAAAAACCCTTCATCAGGGTTTGCATTTTTTTAACAACTGGGCCAACTTCCCTGCATCCACAATCAACCATGGTTTGGTGTGGGTGTGGAGGATGAAGAGAAGGTATCTTCTTTGAACTTTCCAGCTTGGGAAAGACAGAGAAACTAATTGTTAATAATGGAGAGAAAAGAAACAGCCAGCATAGTGGCAGCAGCCTGCTTAAAACAAATGAATGGCCTCTAATGCTTAATATTCATCTTTGTAAAATATGAATGAGATTAGAGCAACCTGCACCTCTTCAAGGAACAGTGATTGACAAGTGGGTCACATATAGGTATTAAAAAATGTTCCACTCCAGGTGTCAAATACATTAAGGCAGAAAAGTGATTAGATAGCCATAGGTTCATTTATCAGTTTGCAAAGGGATTGGTCTTTTACTTTTTAGAAAGAGTAAGGAATATTCTAGGACAAAGACAGACTATTTGAAATTATTTCAACAGCAAGGATGAAAGATGTCCCACTGTCTGAGGAGGACAAGTGTGTAATTTCTTGCACTTACAACACTTTCCATGGGTACCTCTCCTATAATCCCTTGCTTTATGAAAGGACCCCCTACAGTGAAATGGCCTCCTTATGCTTGCAAAAATCCCAGAATCTATATATAAAATATTATAAACAATTACTTTTAAATTAATTTTGAATTGCATGTATACAATGACATCAAGAAATAGTAATAATACAAAAAAAAAAAAATACTGTTCAACCATTTCAGACTGAAAATAGTTGTGAGCCATCCAATTTAACATGAAGAAATGGGAAAACAGCTCACTTTTTTTTTTTAAATTTGTGCCCTGGACATTTTCTCACCCAACTGTACTTTTCAACTCAACATAATTATGAAAATATTCATGTGTTTTAAGGCAAGCCTTATATTTCTTTGAATCTGAAACAAAGGCTCAAAGAATTAATCCTCCTGTTCAGAAATGGATCTGTGATATTCAGTACTCATGCTACAAAACAGTTTCCCCTCAACTGATAGTAATTTTATTATAAGTCACTTCATTGTAATAATTTGTACTTGTATATTCTTACATTTTTGAAACCTCTGTAAAGCACTTGAAGTTCCTTCTTTGTAAAATTGGTTTGTGCCTCAAGTTGTTCCAATCCTTCAGGCCGATAACATACTGTGGTCATTTCCAATTCATCTTCAATTTTATCTAGAAAATGAAATAAAAGGTTTTAGTTGAAGCATCATTCTTTGCATATGAAAATGATGGAAGGAGTTAAATGTGATACTGATTAATCTCCAAAATGTTCGTAAATGCAAACAATGAAATATAGCTCCATATCCACCCAATTCCATTACACGTAAAATTAAAAACCAACAAAGATAAGCCTACCTTGAATTTCTCTTTAGGGTTCATAAAATGTTATTGAATTCAGCAGATAAACACTTTAAATTATTGTTATCCAATAAATTGAAAAAAATCATGAACACCTCAAAATGTTTCTAATTCAATCAACAAATAATCTTTCCTAAATTCACACACACTGACTTAAAAATATTTCCCACCATGTGGTAATATTTTAGAGCAGAGTGTAGATAACATGAACTAGACATGCTTAAACATAGACAAAAGCTGTGATCCCAAGCACATCTAATGGCAGTATGCACCACTGAAATTGATGGAACTTATTTCCAAGTAACAGACTTAGGATAAGAGTAACAATTTCTACTGAGCAGGAGTGGATTTTTTCTTTTGTTGTACAACAAAAGAATTTGCAGGGCTGGGTTTAATAGATGTTCAGTGGCAATTGAAAGTGCAAAGTAGTACATAGATATTTTAAAGACAATTGAAGACACAGAAAGGATGTATTGTGGTGGGATAGTGTACACAGCTCAAAAATATTTTTACCAAAGTGACAGTTACATAAGTCCATGCAGAACACATTACAGTACCTCAAGGTCTGTTGTTTTTCTCTAATTCTGAGTGATACTGGGATGTTGCACAGTTTTAATCCATGGATGAACTGTAAACTTCTTATGATAATGATAATGGGAGTAATTTTAATTGCATTTAGATATCTTGAATATTTGTTGATAGTTCTAAATGATGACTCTGTCATGTGCACCCTCTTTGGCTCAATGATCTGTAGCAAAGTTTCCTTATTTTGTGTGTGTGTGTGGATATGTATAATCCAGCTGTTGAACCAGGTTTTTTTTTTTAGGGAGAATGCATGAGGGCCTTTTGCTTCTTGGTGTCTACAATCCTTAGATTGAAAGATAACCTTAAAGATCAGCAAGGTCAACCCTACAGTTACGCAGAGGCCCCCTGCCCAATCCTCCTCCCCAGAGATTGCCTCCCACAGCCTGCAACAGCATGTATCCCATAGTCCAGGGAACCTATGTGAACAAGAGAGATAAGGGGCACAGGTCTGAGCTCATTGAGCTCCTGATTTCACCCTGGGTCTAGCTGAATCCAAATGTTATAGAGTATTGGAATGAGATCCATATTGCCACTTGCTGCTATCAAAGAAAGAATGCATGTGGTGAATTCATAACCTTTATTAAATAGCATCTAGGACAGATGTGATCTGGAAAGGGTTGTTTAGGATTGAGAAGAAGACATTTTAGTAGGACTCCTGTGTCATTCATATTGGCTTAACAGATAGCAGGGCAGTAGGTGTTGTGTCCCTTATAACAATTCAATATGAAGAATACATTTACATGATACATAAATACATTTCCCTTCATTAAGCTTTCAAAGTTGCTGGATCAAGTAGATTAGGAACCCCTAGGGGATGAGCTGGGATCACCCTGGTCACTGTTGTTGATCATGTTCATGAATAGGTATGTGAGATAGATCTGTATGTGGGAGCCTGTGAAAAGCATGAGGAGACAAGTGGGACAGGGGGCAGTAAGAAATAGATCATACCTGGGAGACAAATTTTCCAAATGTGGATGAAAATTAAGTGTTTGGAAGGATTGAGAAAGAAGAGTAGTGCCCATTGAGTGGTAGCACTATTCCAGTATAACCTTATCTATGAGTTGGGCAGCAGGACAGAGTGAACGCAGAAACTGTAATTTCTTTTCCCTATGTGTTTGGAAGGAAACACTGGTCATAATCCTCTTGGCACCTTATACATATATAACATTTCCTTTCAATGTGGCTGGATATTTTTGTCTAATGTCTGCATTCAGTTCAAGATCATGGAAGTGGAACTGCACATGTGGTGCAATTGCTCATATGGATGCACATTCTTGGCCAATATGTGTCTGTCTGTCCCTGCTGAAGATAGAGTTAATACTCCATCACATTTGCACATTTAGTTGTACACTGTTGCCATTAAACATAAGAGCCATGTAACACTATCAATGCGTAATTCTGCATGTGACAATTTATGATGAACAAACCCAAAGTAGGATATCACCCATTGTATGCACAGTGTGTATAGCAGCTAGAACTCAAGGTTTTGCTTCTTCAAAGCTGTGTTCCTCTATGGCAAAAGTGTTCATGAGTGTAGTGGCAATAGGTGTCAAGGAATAAATTTGTTCTGTGCCTTCAAGTCATTTCCAACCTATGGCAACTCTGCCACAGGGTTTTCTTGGCAAGATTTCTTCAGATATGTTTTTGCCTTTGCTTTCCTCAGAGGCTGAGAGAATGTGACTTGCCCAAGTTCACACAGTGGGTTTCCATGGCCAAGAAGGGATTTGAACCCTGGCCTCCAGAGTTGTGGTTCAACACGCAAACCATTACACCATTTTGGCTCTTGGAATGTATGGTCTTTGCTAATGGAGAACTTACCCATGTAAGATAATGCCTCCCTTGCATTTAGGAGATGTTTTGACCCACTCTTGGGAATAAAAAAGTTTTACAACAATATATTTCAATCTACTCAGAATTCATGTATGATGGAGGTAGAGGTCAGGAAATGGTAGCTGCAATTGTACTTCATAGCAAATATTCCCATTCACTTGCTTACTTATGTGGACTGCTCTATTCTGGATCCTTCAGTTGCTGATGTAGAATGATTTTGTATTTGTATCTGGACTCCCAAGGTAAGTGCTTGTTAGGAACCTCATCAGAGATGTATTAGAAATATGCTCAATTTCCCATACGTGATCTGAAATTAAACTCTTTTATGCAAAGTGCTCATTTTTAATGTATAGCTCCCTTTCTCCAGAGTTTCACATTATCAAAGTTCCCATGCTTTAAATGTGTGTGTGTGTGTGGCGTGAATTTAGAGAGTTATAGATTCATGTCACATACCCTAAAAGCTTTAAAAAGGCTGTCAAGATGGATCTCTTCCGGCAGGCCTTTCCAGACTAAAATACTGGGCCTCGGGACTCTGGGATCTTGGGATCTCTCTCTCTTCAGGATTGCCTCCTCAGCCCCCCTTTAGAACCGAAGTCGCAGGGGTTTTATTAGTTTGTATTTTTACTTTGTTTTATTGTTAAGTTGAATTGTTAGTTGGTTTTAACTGATATGTAGTTTAATTGACTTTTTAAGGGGGAAGGGAGTTATACTATTTTAAGTTGTATGTATTTTAGCCTTGTAAACAGCCTAGATTGGTTCGCCACCGGGTAGTATATAAATAAAATTTATTATTATTATTATTATTATTATTATTATTATTATTATTATTATTATCTGAGTTGTCTCCCTGTGCCAGGTGCATATGTAGGTAATTGCACACTGTACATCATTAGGCATTCAACTGATTTCTTACATTGTGACTTACATTCTGTTGTGGTGATGGGGTGTGTGTGGGAAGAGTGATTGATGCAGGCCAGCATTCCCCCCATTTTTTACCCTCCCATTAAGTCAATGAGATGAAAATTTATTCTAAGAGTTCTGAGAAATTGAACTGGTATGACTGTTGATTGAAGAGGTTTAGAATATGATATGTTCTTCTCTAGTCCATCCACTTTTCAATTCTACCTCATTTCATCCATTCCACCATTGTGTTGTCTTTGTGGTGATCTATCTGGAATTGTGTTGTCATAGCTGGATTCTGGTGCACCCTATGGCCCTGCACCCAGTGGATCATGAGTACAGGATTGTGCCCTTAAATTCCAGAGTGTAACTCATCACTGTTTTCTTTGCCTTTTGTGGATGGATGCTTTAGAACAGCCATGGATGAGCAAATTGATGTCTCCTCAGTTAAGATGTTAAAATATTAATCAGTTAAGATTTTTATTCACTTATATAGAAGCAGTTGCCTTTTAGCAGGTCACCTAATCATTCACCAGCTAGCAAATTTAAATATTATTTTTTAAATAACAGAGCTAGAAACAAAACCAATCAAACAAAAAGGTCTATTAGCTTTCCAGTACATTTTGATATCATCATTAGAACTGGATTTGTACTGCAATTTTACAGTACAGAAACATGCTTAGGGCACTCCAACATTTGGTGAATGGCTGCAAACATCAAGCCATTGCATCCTCTATGTTTCATCTCTAAAGTTAGCTCTCTTCTTGATAGAGATTCCCCTTATAATAACTATATTATGAAATTGTCATCATATAACGTCATAATGTGTATAGTTATGGAATGCCACAGAAGATGACAGCAATATTTTCTTTAAAAAAACCTCCATTATTTTAAAACATCATTTTTATGCCATGTCCACACCTTCTACATATCATCAACTAAATCATCAAAGCTTTTGTCTCTGCAAAATTGCAATTACAACTTTATAAGTATGTAGTTCAGATATTTCACAGATTCAAGTATGTCTCATTTAATATTGCCTTGGCTTCTCTCCCGAGACAGCTGTCTTTCTTGTTTCCTTTGGAGGGTTTAGTTCCTATTAACACAGTGTGCTTTCCTTCCTTTTAATTCTTTTTTCCTCCCAATCAATTGGTGCTACATAATCTTATCTGGTTTCTTCCAAATCTTTCAATTTGCAATATATTATCTGATTAGGTGACCTGCTAAAAGGCAACTGCTTCTATATAAGGTCCTCTGGCATTGCAGTGGTACTGGACAATGAAGGGGACAAGGTTAATTGTTAGAGGATTTTTTAATTAGGTTTTTTATCCATCAAATGACATTATACATATCTGATGCTGAGCTCTTGGATTGGGAATTTTTATTCCATGCTGGTTTCCTTGCTTCCTGGAAGATTTTTCCATGAGCTGTTGGAAGTGGTGTCTGATGTAATACTGAGATTTTCCAAGCTAATGGTCATAGAGGGTATTGCTGGTAAAGCAGGACCATATTACTTTTCCAGTGCATTGTTGAGTCCTTATTTACTAGATGTCATGTTTTCAACATGGAATTTCTTGCTGTACTATTCTGGAAATAGTGGAGATGAAAAGAAACCATTTATTTTTGACAGACCATTACTTGATGGTGTCTCAGCAGTTTGAAATTCAATTGTATCGATCTCAAATTTGGGCAGTTATCCATATGGCTGATGGTCCAGGTTGTTTTCAGCTTGATTGTACAGTTGCTGATATGCTTTTGTTGAAGCCCAGGTTGGTCTCTGGGGGAGGGAGGGGGGGAAGGTTGATGATTTTGTTAGTGTTCTCTCCTATTGATAAGGCCCTATATTTTCGTATGATATATTTTGGAATACAATATAATATATTGCAAGCACTGAAGCTTTACGGATAATGTAGGTAATTCAGACCTTAAGAAAACCATATTTGCATGTAGGTTAGAGTTCATATTAGAAGCTGTTGCATGAGGCCATAGAACTAATGCATTCTTTTTAATTTCTCTTTCACCATAGTACATTGCTATGCTTTCCCTTTTGTGAAATTCAGCCATACTTCTTGGCTCAATACATGCAACTTTGTGATGCTTATAATTAACTTTTTTCCCTATAAACAGAAAAAAAGATCAGTATCAATCTGGTTTGGGGGTTAAATGTATCCTAGTAAAGCCATAGAAAGGAAATAATGAATGGAGGGTAGTAAACATGACATCATTTGAAAGTTTTTTTTTTTAAAAAAAGCCTTTAAAGTCTGTTAACATATCTTTATCAAAACCTTCATTTTTCTAGTAAACAATAACTTATAGAATTCTGTGTCAGCTACTTAGTTACATATACTTAATCAAGTAACCTCTCCTAACCTGAGCATCCCCCATGACTGAAATGTTATTCTCCCCTGCTCTGATCACTGGCAGAATGCACCTCCTTATCTCCTGGTTAAGTAGATTGGAGGGGCAGTTACAATCGTTGCAATAGCATCAAAATTGTGATTAGGTAGCAATCATGAACACAAAACAGTTATGAATGAGTAAATCTAGGTGAGTTGTTGGGCCAGGAAAGGTTACCTAGGAGCTATACAGACCTGCAAGAAACACCGGCATCAGGGTGCAGTGGGGGTGTAGTGACCGCCCATCACTCTTCCTGACTCCATCCCAATTTCAGCGTTAAGCTGCCTGCCTGCCCACATAACGGGCAATATCACAACATTTCTGCAGTGCAGCATTTAGGTGCGCTGCACCAAAGAAATAGGGAAAAGCTCCTGCCATGGCGGCAAGGGTGGCTTTTTGCCAGGAGAGGCTTTCTGCTTCTTCTTTTGGAGCTGGCAAATTGCCAGATTGAGACCGCGGTGTGTGGCAGCCCCGATCTGGTGCTCAAGGGGGAGGTAACAAGCCACTCCTTTGGGTCCATCTGTTTAGCCCCCTAGTTAAGTATGCTTAAGTAGCTGATACAGGATTTTGGCCCTTGTTGCACGTAAGTCACAGAGGTCATACATATGAACAATATGTGGGCTCTAATTAAAAATGAAAAATCATGTCATTAACACATACACAACATTCCAGTTGCATAGTATAACAGCACAATAATTGTGAGCTATGAATAAAAAAGCACACTTCTCATTGACCTTGAAAACACAGAGGTACTTTGCAAATCAGCCAGCTGAGTGTGGCTTCTAGCCAGGTTTTAGGTGGGATGCAGTTGGGCAGCAGCATTGGCAGCATTTTTTGTGTTATAATACCTGGCTGCATCCCATAAGATACTTGAAAACAGCAGGCGTAAGTCAAGTTTTTTAAGCATGCAATAAACTCCATGTCTCCTTCAGCACATAACTTATAAGTGTTAAGTCAACCCATTCTTAATGCTGTGGACACATGCATTTTTTGGTGAAGATATCCAGGAGGGATCTGGTTTGTTCTGTTTTCTGTGTGCCAATTAGAGTGATGTTTTTCTTACCCAATCCTCTGGTTAGTGGCACAGTGGTGACTGTTATATTTCAATCAGAAACTGTAAATGTATTCATTTATTAGGTTTTGAGTGGCTAGTTAGTTACACAGATGTCTGTGGCCAATTTTCACTAAAATGTTTTGCAACAATATTTTTGTGAAGGGAGGGAAAGAGGCATGTAAAAGTTTCTGGCTAAGGGGTGGAATTTAATCTGTCCAGCAGCTGAAGTGAGGATGCACATCCCTTGTAAACAATCAAAACAGTATAGTTTGCTCAAAATTCTATATTTGATTGAGGAGTTTTGCTGGGTTACAAAAAATATTTTAACAGAGGAAAATGTTTTTTAAAATTCAGATTTTAAAGGGTTTTAAAGATTTTAAAAGGGTTATGTAAACTTGTTGGTATGGTTGACTCCATAAATACCATAACTCACTCCAAAATACTGTTTAAAGGTGAAGTAGTTTATCTAGAATCACCAAAATAAACAAGATTTTATTTTTTGCTTCATGGGAGAAAACTCCTGTCTTCAGATAGGCTATGAGCTAAAAGTCTGTACACATGATGAGTGAGTAATGCAGAGATCACTTGCAGGTAATTTTT